TATATATATATATTCAATTCAATAATAATAAAAAAATAAAATCCTGCCACAGCCAAGCCACATTGAAAATTTTACACAATAATGTCATATGTATTAAATTTAAAATAATAATAAAATAAAAGACATTTATTTATTTTTGAAATGCCAAAGTGCACAAACAGTCTAGCAACATCCTGCATTTGAAATTAATTATATATAATATTGAGCTAAAATGAGTAATATGTATATGAAAAACTATTACTGAGTGATATGTAACAACATTTAAATATTTGTGACAGATGTCACTGCCTTCACCTCACAGTGATTGGCTGCCGCCCATTGTTTTTAGCCTCTCATTTCTATAATTTTAAAATTCAACACTCTCACCACTTGGTCTACTCTGTTGGTCTGCTGCTCTGCTCCCATAGAGAATAAATGAAAAAAACCCTGTCCAGCTCCAACGCGCCACTGCACATGCACAGTTTCACTTAAAGCTCTTCCAGGGCTTCCTAAATAGTAACAAAGCAATGTCACAGATACTGGATTTTGCTTAAGAATAGCTGTCGTATGCCATCATGTTTCGAATCCACCCAGTAAGGCAAAAACAGAGATGACCGTATTCCCTCTGCCGTCACGGAGCTGCAATGTGAGCCTCAGTTTTTTTCCGCTTCTGTCAACAAATCATGTCCTCACATGACAGTTAATTGCTCTCATTTTTGTTACTTTATATCGTCCTGTCAAAATATTTACAACTGTAATTTAATGAGACTGAAAAATTGAACACAGACCACGAGTCTCAGGCTACACCCAGTGCATTTACAATCCATTTGACCTTGGAGGGAAATCTTTACAGCTTGCTCTTGTTTTCACACTCTTTTCATCACAGATGCCTCCAGAACTACATACCCCCTCAGTCCCTGACCCTCTCCTGCCCGGTGTGCAGACAGACCTCCATCCTGCCTGAAAAGGGTGTTGCAGCACTGCAGAACAATTTCTTCATAACAAATCTGATGGAGGTGTTGCAGAGGGAGCAGGACTGCACCCGTCCCGAGGCCTCTAGTGGGCTGGAGTCAGCCGGTGCTGCTACATATGCCCCGCCCCTCTCCTGCCCCAACCATGAGGGCAAGGTAAGCACGCACACATCCTGACAGTGCAGTACAGGCCTCCTACTACGAATGAGATGTACATACTTCACTGGTGATAGGAAAAGTATACACTTTTGAACAAGTGGTAAGGCTGTGCAAGTATTGGGACAATAGTCGGAGATATTAGTTATTATTATTATATATATATACTGTATATATATTAGATGTAATTATTTGTAGTTATGTGCATAGGAATAACCCATGCAAATTCTTATTTACCAGCAGTGATATTTTAGTATTATAGTATCATATTATAGTATTTATTAATATTTTGAATCGCCCTTCATTTTTATATTTTCAGTTTTCCTTTTAATTTTGAGTTTTAGTAATCTTAGTACTTAAACTTTTTTACCAAGGCTTCTCAAGTTCAAGTTCTTCATCTAATATTTATATTGATATTTATATTATATTTATATTGATTTATTTTTTAAGTTTACTAAAACAATTTTTTAGTTTACAATATCAACACTAGTAATTTACTAGTGGAAATATTTATTAATTTATTTTAAGTTTTTTTATTTTTTTATACAATACATTATACAATTACAGTAAATTATACAAATACATTATAATTCACAAAAACAACACAGTGAAAGTATTTATGAATTTATTATCAACAGTTTTTTTTCTCAGCAATTCACAGATAAGATATGGAGAGATAGCTCATAAAATACGAAGTGTAAATAGCATTTGTGCTACTCAAACTGAGTCTTTACTAATCTTTGTGTGCAGCATTTGAATGAGTTTTTGTCGTCCTCTGCAGGTGATGGAGTTTTACTGCGAGTCTTGTGAAACGGCCATGTGTTTGGAATGCACAGAAGGAGAGCACAGAGAACATGTGACTGTCCCACTGCGGGATGTTCTGGAGCAGCACAAAGCTGCATTGAAGAACCAGCTGGATGCTATTCGCAACAGGTTCATGCAGCCAAGAATAATACTAAGCTCACTGTTAAACTGAGCCAGTATTTAAAGCTCATATTTTAACCCATTCTTTATACTGTACACTGAATCATTCTTTCTTTTTTTTTTTACTTACTTTTTAATACTACAATTTTGGTTTCCCTTCTTTTTTTTAAACATTTTTATGTAGTTACTGTTGTGTTTGCAAAGCTCAGCTGCTTGAGTCACATCATGACCTGACTGAACGTTGCCCTCATTCTGCATCCGCAGGCTTCCTCAGCTGACTGCAGCTATAGAGCTGGTAAATGAGATCTCCAAGCAGCTAACAGACAGGAAGAATGAGGCAGTGACGGAGATCAGCAATACGTTCGAGGAACTGGAGAAAGCACTGCATCAGCGCAAGACTACTCTCATCACTGACCTGGAGAACATCTGCAGCACCAAGCAGAAGGTGAAAAGCTTACTCCTTACATACAGTACATATATATATATATAGAGAGAGAGAGAGAGAGAGAGCGGGAGAGAGATCGTATTTATTTTATAGTATTTATTCATATTTTGAATTAGCTTGAATTATTTGTATATTTTCAGTTTTCTACTTACAATTATACTAAATATTTTCACATTACTACATATCAAAATTTAATTATTATTTATATTTATTTTTACACTTATTTTTAATTTTCATGCATTGATTTTAATTATATGTATTCAAATCATTATTTATTAACAAATAATTTATTATCTAAATATTGTGTAAAGAAACTGAAAATACATTTTCACATCTCTAATATCTACAAATAATATAAACAATAAATGAACATTAATTTCTATTTTATTTTATTTTATTATTTGTTGTGCATATGAGTACATCAAGCAACATTTTTATGTAGTTACTGTTGTGTTTGCAAAGCTCAGCTGCTTGAGTCACATCATGACCTGACTGAACGTTGCCCTCATTCTGCATCCGCAGGCTTCCTCAGCTGACTGCAGCTATAGAGCTGGTAAATGAGATCTCCAAGCAGCTAACAGACAGGAAGAATGAGGCAGTGACGGAGATCAGCAATACGTTCGAGGAACTGGAGAAAGCACTGCATCAGCGCAAGACTACTCTCATCACTGACCTGGAGAACATCTGCAGCACCAAGCAGAAGGTGAAAAGCTTACTCCTTACATACAGTACATATATATATATATAGAGAGAGAGAGAGAGAGAGAGCGGGAGAGAGATCGTATTTATTTTATAGTATTTATTCATATTTTGAATTAGCTTGAATTATTTGTATATTTTCAGTTTTCTACTTACAATTATACTAAATATTTTCACATTACTACATATCAAAATTTAATTATTATTTATATTTATTTTTACACTTATTTTTAATTTTCATGCATTGATTTTAATTATATGTATTCAAATCATTATTTATTAACAAATAATTTATTATCTAAATATTGTGTAAAGAAACTGAAAATACATTTTCACATCTCTAATATCTACAAATAATATAAACAATAAATGAACATTAATTTCTATTTTATTTTATTATTTGTTGTGCATATGAGAACATCAAGCAGATTTTTTTATTTATGAATAATTCTGAATTAGCTTTTATTTTTATTTTTTTTATTTGGACTTTGATTTAGGTTTTAATCATTTTGTTGCATAATTTTTTGTAAAATATTTTTTTTCAGTTTTAGTTCCAGTTACTAAATAATATATTTTTCATTTGATCTCAGTTAGCTGCCAAAGCAATATTTATTTATACATGGAATCATTTTTTTTAAGTTTAAAGCTCAGATATTTTATTACATTTAATTTTATTTATTTTTTGTTTGTTTTGTGTTATTGAATTGAAGGGACATCTGTAATTATATCAAATGCTTATGTTGCTGCAGGTGCTGCAGGCCCAACTCACTGCACTACTTCAAGGGAAGGAAAACATCCAGAGCAGTTGTAGCTTCACGGAGCAGGCGCTAAACCACGGCAGCCCCACAGAGGTGCTCCTGGTGCAGAAGCAGATGGGAGAGCGGATGGGCGTTCTGGCCCGCCACGCCTTCCCTGAGCAGCCCCATGAGAACGGCCACCTGGACTGTCAGGTGGAGACAGAGGGGCTGCGCCGCTCCATCCAGAACCTGGGAGTCCTGCTCACCACCAGCGCCGTGGGGCACACCAGTGTGGCTACTGGAGAGGGTCTCAGACATGCTGTTGTTGGACAAAATGCCACTGTTACAGTGACCACTAAGGTTGGTGATGATGTCACTCTTGGGTTTGAGTTCAGTTTGAAAACATACTGTAAATTTACTGTACTGTAAACATACTGTACACACACACACATACAATTCTGGCTGATAATAAATTAATAATTGTTTAGGTTAGGTTAGGGTTATATATATAGATTTTTAAAATGTAATGTTATTTTTTATTTTAATTGATTAAAATAATTTATTATTATTAGTTTATTATTGACAAATTATTTAATATTTAAATGTTATGTAATTTTTTTACATTTTATATGAAAATAAATAATAAAAAATCTGTAATATCTAAAAAAATATATATTTCTACAATAAACAAAAATGACATCATATATATATGATGTCATTTTTGTTTATTGTAGAAATATATATTTATGATGTAATTTTTATTTATTGTAGAAATATATATTTTTTAGATATTACTTAAATTATGTTAAAATTAAATGAAAATATATGATGTAATATATATATATATATATATATATTTTATTTTTATTTTTTTTAATTTTATTTTATTTTTTCGTTTAATTTATTTTATAATTTACTTTACATTTGTTAAAATAATTATTTATTGGAAAAAGTATTTAAAAAAGAAAAGTATTTTTATAAAAATAAAGGATTATATATATATATACAGTGGGGAAAAAAAGTATTTAGTCAGCCACCAATTGTGCAAGTTCTCCCACTTAAAAAGATGAGAGAGGCCTGTAATTTTCATCATAGGTATACCTCAACTATGAGAGACAAAATGAGAAAAAAAAATCCAGAAAATCACATTGTAGGATTTTTAAAGAATTTATTTGCAAATTAGGGTGGAAAATAAGTATTTGGTCAATAACAAAATTTCATCTCAATACTTTGTTATATACACTTTGTTGGCAATGACAGAGGTCAAACATTTTCTGTAAGTCTTCACAAGGTTTTCACACACGGTTGCATATACTGTATATATATATGTGTGTGTGTGTGTGTGTGTGTGTATGTGTGTACAAAAAAATAATTTATTAATTTAAAAATTAATTTATATATAGATTATAAATTATTTTGATGTTTATTTTTTGTTTTATTGTCAGATATATTATTTGTTTAAATTTAATTTTTTTGTTATTGACTTTTATAAAATACAATTTCTAATATCACTAATGTCATTTTGATGACAATGATATCAAGATACAAACACAAACTGGTTATTTCAGACAGACTGTCCTTGTAATAAATGCTGTAGCTTGATTTAAGTTTGTAACGAAATCCTCCAACTGCTTCCCTAGGACAAAGACGGTGAGCTAGTAAAGACTGGAAATGCCGCACTGAGGGCACAGATCAGCGGCCCAAATGGAACCGTCACCGAAACGGACATAACAGACAACAAGAATGGCACTTACGAGATCGGCTACACTCTCCGCTCAGAGGGCGAGTTCTCCTTCTCTGTCCTGCTCTACGGGCAGCCAGTGAGGGGCAGCCCCTTCCGCCTGCGGGCCGTCAAACCCTGCGACGCCCCGCAGTCACCCGATGACGTGAAGAGACGCGTCAAGTCACCCGGAGGAGGTGGAGGGGGTGGAGGACATGTGCGCCAGAAGGCGGTGCGCAGACCCTCAAGCATGTACAGTACAACGAAGAAGAAGGAGAATCCCATTGAGGATGAACTCATCTACAGAGGGGGTGAGTAAAGAGTTGTATGGTTGTTGTTTTTTTCTCTCAAATTGTACTTCAGATTGTGTCCTGTATGCCAAAAATATCATATACATTTCAGATCGCCCTAAAATAAAAATTAATTTTTATGGAATTGTTTAATGGAAAAATTATATATATATATATATATATATATATATATATTATGTAATGGAATTTCAATTGTCAAAAATTTGGGAACAAAGAAATGTTTTTACGAAGATAACAGTGCTATACTGTTTCAGTCTTTTAAGTTGGCCTGTAAAGATGAAAAGGTCATTTCTGCATTCTGCTTGATTGTTGGCCTGCGTCACAATTTGTCAATTGACGTCTTATTTGATGTGACAGGGACGAGGGGTCGAGAGCGGGGGGAGTTCTCAAACCTGCAGGGCATCTCTACCACCAGCAACGGGCGGATCGTGCTCGCTGACAGCAACAACCAGTGCATACAGGTAAGAATATGGCCTGATGGTGGCCTTTAACAGATAGATACATGAATAAATGTGTACCACTTGGCCAGAATCATTTATATGCTGCATTCTGTGATCTTCTAGGTGTTTTCCAGTGATGGTCAATTCAAACTGAAGTTCGGGGTCAGAGGTCGCTCCCCTGGCCAGCTCCAGCGCCCTACTGGCATTGCAGTGGACATGAATGGTGACATTATTGTAGCCGACTATGACAACAGGTGGCTCAGCATCTTCTCTCCAGACGGCAAGTTTAAGGTCAGTTACATTTCTTTCATGATAATTTTAATTAATTAAAAAATATATATTATTATAAAAAAAATAATGAAATATATTAAATTCAAAATGTATTAAATCGATAATGAAATAAACCTTAGTTCAATATTAAATGAGACAATTAAATTAAACATGATTCTCAAAGTCATAGAACATCCAATTTTTGGATTTTAAAATAATGTTATTTATGTATCATAAAATAAAATAATAACAAAAAATTTAAGGAATCAGCCTTCAAACATTAAAAGCGTTCAGTACAAAAACACGTATTAAGTATATTTTAGACATTTCTAGACATGCCTTTATTTCAGAAATGAAATAAAAAATAAATAAAACAGAAATTAAATTTAAAAAAAATACAATTTGTAAATAAATATTATTAATATATAATATAGATATTAAACATATAAAAATGTTACATTAAAACTAGTACAAAACTCTTACTCTTAAAAATGTATTTTTCCAAACATCAGATAGCCTTTACTAATTCATGTTGCTTGTGTTCCATTGATCTGATGAATTGGTGATGTGCTAATATGTTGTCTTGCTTTTCTGGCAGAATAAAATCGGTGCAGGTCGGCTGATGGGTCCTAAAGGAGTGGCCGTGGACAAGAATGGTCATATTATCACGGCAGACAACAAGGCCTGCTGTGTCTTCATTTTCCAATCCAACGGCAAGCTGGTGACCAAATTTGGTGCCAAAGGAACATCAGAGAGGCAATTTGCAGGTAATATATTCTTATTTGTCTTCAGCATTGAATTCATGGCCAGATCATGTTTTAATCAGATGTTCCTTTCTGTTTCTCTGCAGACAAAAGTACTCCAAATACACCGACAGAGCCAAAACAGAGTAAATCTGGCCCTGCCTTCAGTGAGCATTCAACTTTATTCATTTTTAGTTGATTTATTAGTTTCATTTTGTGCAGTTAGATTGTATTATTGATTATTGAATGAGGTCATCTTAAAATGAAATAGAAAGCCTTGTAGGATAATTGATTATCCACATGAAGAGAGATTTTTGTTTTTTTGGCATGTAGGTAGGGGTTGCATGAATCAAGTGTTCTCTGTGTTGCTGGGTATTTCCTTAGAAACAAAACAACATGTTGAGAATGTAATGGTCTCTCTCTCGCTCTCTCGCTCTCTCTCTCTCTCTCTGTCTTTCTCCTTCTATGGCCATAAGGTCCTCATTTTGTGGCCATAAACAACAAGAATGAAATTGTTGTGACAGACTTCCACAATCATTCTGTTAAGGTACGGTAAGCTCTTCTCTTTTACTGTGTAAATTATTCCATATCTCATAACTTGGATTGTTTTGGATTTATGGCTTCTTGCAGGTTTACAATGCTGATGGCGAGTTCCTGTTTAAATTTGGCTCGCATGGTGAAGGGAACGGCCAGTTCAATGCACCCACCGGTGTGGCTGTAGATGGCAATGGGAATATTATTGTTGCAGACTGGGGTAACAGTAGGATACAGGTAGGCTATTCATTTTTGTCATCGAGTAATTCAATTCAAAAATGATGTAGTAACTTTACAGTTTATAGACGAGTTGAGACCGAATTCAAAATGTATGAATTTCATTGCTTTAGATAACAAAAGATCAAAACTAATAGCCAGCTGCAAAGTATGATTACGCTGAGACATTTTTTTCTATTCCAAAAAAAATGCAATTACTTTCAGCTTTTCCTTTTATTTTGTAACATAATTATATATATAATTTTTATTCACTGTAAATTATCAAATTTATTACACTTTTTTGCCTTTCAGCTACCTAGCTGTATTTTATTTCTTAATTTCATTTTATTTTTTTTAACATATTTTAATTTAAAAGTCTATTCCACTTTTCTAAGTCATTTTTGCAATTACTTTCAACCACCTAGCCCTATTTTATTTTATTTTGGATTTCATTTTTTATTTTATATCTTCTTCTTATTATTTAATTTACAAAAAAAACATTAAATTTATTTTATTTTTTTTTACATTTTTGCAATAGCATTTTATTTTCTAATATAATTATATAGTTTTTGTAAATTTTTTATTAAAAAAAACTATATTTTTACTTTCAGCAAATAATTTGAGTTTTATAATTAATTTTTATAAAAAATGTTGATGCTAATGAATTACTAAAAGTTCCTTTTGTTGTTTAGGTGTTTGACAATTCTGGCTCTTTTCTGTCGTACATCAACACGACGGCAGATCCTTTGTACGGTCCGCAGGGTCTGGCTCTCACGTCAGATGGCCATGTGGCCGTGGCGGACTCTGGAAACCACTGCTTCAAAGTCTACCGATACCTGCAGTAAACACTCACCGCGATGGAAGAGTTCATATACACCTAGCCCTATTTTATTTTATTTTGGATTTCATTTTTTATTTTATATCTTCTTATTATTATTTAATTTACAAAAAAAACATTAATTTTTTTTTTTTTTTTTTACATTTTTGCAATAGCATTTTATTTTCTAATATAATATATTATTTTTATTTTGTTTTATTCCTCGTTTTCTATGAATGCAATCAAATGAATGAAAAATAAAAAAAATACTGCATTAGATATGACAGTTTGATCATTCTGGCCCTCAAAAGCAATGAATTCTGAATCAGGAGAGCATTTGTACTTTATATAGAGTCATGATTCTGGTTTTACAAATATGTGCGAGTGAAAGCCAGTGTTGTTTAAGCCACTAAATACAGTATTCTGTTGTAGAACTGTACTGTGTATAACAACAATGGGGCATGTGAAGCATTTGAAACATAGTATTTAAACTGCAATAATGCACTCTTGATGTAGCATCTCTAAAAGTAGCCCTAAAAATTAAGGTTGTGAGACACTGAAAAGTTAAAGGTCATCATGTCAGAGATTTTTGTAATAGAATTCTTCCCATTTGACTATGTAACAGAATAAAGGGTAACGTGAATCTACCATATTGCCAATACACATGAAAAACTGAATTGAAATGCTTCAGACTCTAGTTTCCAATGTACCAAACAACTGTAACAGTCTCTTTATGTGTCAGTATGCACTAGAAATAAAAGCACATGATTTACCGAGCCAAATAACGATGTTGGAAGTGGTTATTTTCCGTCTTGTCTTCTAAATGTCACAGAATTATTTTTATTTTGTTTTATTCCTCGTTTTCTATGAATGCAATCAAATGAATGAAAAAAAAAAATACTGCATTAGATATGACAGTTTGATCATTCTGGCCCTCAAAACCAATGAATTCTGAATCAGGAGAGCATTTGTACTTTATATAGAGTCATGATTCTGGTTTTACAAACATGTGCGAGTGAAAGCCAGTGTTGTTTAAGCCACTAAATACAGTATTCTGTTGTAGAACTGTACTGTGTATAACAACAATGGGGCATGTGAAGCATTTGAAACATAGTATTTAAACTGCAATAATGCACTCTTGATGTAGCATCTCTAAAATTAGCCCTAAAAATGAAGGTTGTGTGACACTGAAAAGTTAAAGGTCATCATGTCAGAGATTTTTGTAATAGAATTCTTCCCATTTGACTATGTAACAGAATAAAGGGTAACGTGAATCTACCATATTGCCAATACACATGAAAAACTGAATTGAAATGCTTCAGACTCTAGTTTCCAATGTACCAAACAACTGTAACAGTCTCTTTATGTGTCAGTATGCACTAGAAATAAAAGCACATGATTTACCGAGCCAAATAACGATGTTGGAAGTGGTTATTTTCCGTCTTGTCTTCTAAATGTCACAGCGTTTAATGGGGTGTTGCTTTAGAAATTCATTAAGAAGATGGCAGGCAGAGCGACTTATGGTTGCCTTGCATTTCTTTTCTTCTGGTATCTTCTCGATCCACATGTCATTGTTCAGCACATACCCGAAACAACAGAAGAAGAATGTTTTACTAATCAAAAACAGCAATTTGCATTCCTTTGTCTTTTAAATAAACGATTTCAAGGCTTATTGTTGTCTGTCGTTATTGAGCACTGATATTGCATCATCCTGCCCCATGATCAGATAGTGAGCTTCATTTTTCAGCTCCATTTCATCACAAGATAAGCGCAGTATCATCTGACGTGTGGCATCTTTCTGGACACCAGGGGCCTCATTTATAAAATGTTGCGTATGCACAGATTTGATCTTAGAGTGTGCGTACGCTAAAATCCACGGCAACGTTCATATTTTAAAAAATTGTCTTTTTTGACGTGGAAAAGTACTTCCCGCCACGTCAAGGTCTGAGCAGACGTACGCACTTTTCCTTGTGGCAAAGTCGGAGTACTGCAGCTATTTGAACATCTAAGCTGCAATAATAATAATAGCACCGAATTCTTCATAAACAACAAAGATGCAGTGTAAGAGATTAATTGTGCAGTGTAGTCAGATTTTTTATTAACGGGAGTTTTTGCGAGATTAAACTGACCTTTTTAGTAGCCTAATGTTGAGAGTTCTTTACTCGCTTTCTGTACACCGTTTATTCCATTTTTTTTTTTTTTTAACAAGAGAACTTGCGAAGTCTTGATTTACTACTAATGCGTAAAATAGAAAAAAAATGCATAAACGCATCTCCGACTGTTTTGTCTGTGTAGCCCAGGGGTGCCCAAACTCGGTCCTGGAGGGCCGATGTCCTGCAGAGTTTTGATCCAACCCCAATTAGACACACTTGAACCAGCTAATCAAGCTCTTACTAGGCATACTAGAAACTTCCCAGCAGGTGTGTTGAGGCAAGTTGGAGCTAAACTCTGCAGGACACCGGCCCTCCAGGACCGAGTTTGGGCACCCCTGGTGTAGCCTATAAGAATAGGCCTATGTCGTGCAATAACGGTTTTAAAGGGATGCTATTATGCTCTTTTACAAAGTCTTGATTTTGTTTTGGGGGTGTACTAGGACATGCTCTCATGCTTGGTGGTTCGAAAAACACATTATTTTTCACATAATTTACATGATTAAAATACATTTCTCCCCATCCTTGCACAAACGACTCGATTAGTTCCGGCTTTGATGAAGGTCCGCCTTCCGAAAAACAAAATGTGTTGTGATTGGTTAACTGTCCCAGTGCGTTGTGATTGGCGAACAGCTTAGACGGTGTTTCAGTACTGCCACGCCCCTTGCTCCGTCTCCGAATCCGGCACTGTACTCCCTCGTGTTGTGGAAGCTGTCCTCAGTAAAATGTGCAGCACACAATAGCAAATTGGGGTTATAATGCTCAGGAACAGAGTTAAAAAGTAAATTGCAACCACTGTTGACATCATCCGCTTTCGGAAGCCCAAACACAGATGTTTGGGCACGGAGGTGAAAAAAACAGCATTTCAAGCGGTTGCACACTGAACGAGAAGCGAAGTGTCGCGCCACGTCTTAAAAATTCAAATACATTATTTTCTGTGAGTGTAGGCACACCGGTGGCGCCGTTCAGCATCTGTCCGCGGCGCCCAGCTACGTCGTGTTGTACTTGTAAGAATTGTTCTAGATATGCCAAAAATTTGAAGCTACAGCACAGCAGCTCTTCTTCTTGGTTTTCTCTGATGCACTAACTCTGCAGCAGCACTTCTTCTTCGTCGTCTCGTCTGATGCACTCACTCAACCAAGCGTTCTAACCGCAACCTCGCCCCTTCCCACCCCCCAACCATTCGAATTTCTGTAGGTGGGAATTATTTGTAATTATATTCCAATGAGCCGCTTTGTGATATCACAAAGCCCGGAAAACAAACGCTGTAGTCCAAACGAGCCGTTCGTTGTAGTTCTTGAAACGGGCTTTTAAAAAAACTAAATATCTCCCTTTGGAGTGGACTTTGAGATTTGTAACTTTCTAGATATTTTTAATGCCCAAACATACACACTACACACTGACTAAAATTAAAAAAGTGAAAAAGCATAATAGGACCCCTTTAA